CAGTGATAAGGGGAGATATGCCCAATTAAATGCACAATTCCAGAGGTTAGCCAGAAGAGATAAGGAACTATTTTTAAACAAGCAATGCATGGAAGTGGAAGAAGACAACAGAATAGGAAGGACAAAAGACCTCTTCCAGAAAATTAGAAACATTGGAGGTAAATTTCAGGCAAAAATTGGTATGATAAGAAACAAAGATGGCAGGGACCTAACAGAAGCTGAAGAGATCAAGAGAAGGTGGCAAGACTATACAGAAGATCTGTATAGGAAGGATAATAATATTGAGGATAGTTTTGACGGTGTGGTGAATGAATTAGAACCAGATATCCTGAGGAGTGAGGTTGAATGGGCCTTAAGAAGCATTGCTAACAATAAGGCAGAAGGAGACGACGGGATCCCAGCTGAACTGTTTAAAATCTTAAAAGATGATGCTGTCAAGGTCATGGAAAACAAATATGGAAAACACAAGAATGGCCATCAGACTGGAAAAAATCAACCTATATCCCCATACCAAAAAAGGGAAATGCGAAAGACTGCTCAAACTTCCGTACAGTGGCCCTTATTTCTCATGCCAGTAAGGTAATGCTCAAGATCCTGCAAGGAAGACTCCAGCAATACATGGAGCGAGAGTTGCCAGATGTTCAAGCTGGGTTTAGAAAAGGCAGAGGAACGAGAGACCAGATTGCCAATATCCGCTGGATAATGGAGAAAGGCAGGGAGTTCCAGAAAAACATCTACTTCTGCTTCATTGACTATTCTAAAGCCTTTGACTGTGTGGATCATAATAAATTGTGGCAAGTTCTTGGTGGGATGGGCATACCAAGCGACCTTGTCTCTCTCCTGAGGAATCTGTACAAGGACCAAGTAGCAACAGTCAGAACTGACCATGGAACAACAGACTGGTTCAAGATTGGGAAAGGCGTACGGCAAGGCTGCATCCTCTCACCCAACCTTTTAACTTGTATGCAGAACACATCATGCGAGGATGTGCGGGGCTTGAGGAATGCAAAGCTGGGGTGAAAATGGCTGGAAGAAACATTAACAACCTCAGATATGCAGATGACACCACTTTGATGGCCGAAAGCGAGGAGGAGCTGAGGAGCCTTCTAATCAAGGTGAAAGAAGAAAGCGCAAAAGCCGGGTTGCAGCTAAAAGTAAAATAAATCAAGATTATGGCAATCAGACTGATTGATAACTGGCAATTAGAGGGAGAAAATGCGGAGGCCGTGACAAACTTTGTATTTCTAGGTGCAAAGATTATTGCAGATGCAGACTGCAGCCAGGAAATCAGAAGATGCTTACTTCTTGGGAGGAGAGTAATGACCAATCTCGATAAAATCGTGAAGAGTAGAGACATCGCACTGGCAAGGCCATGGTATTCCCTGTAGTCAACCTACGGATGTGAGAGCTGGACCTTAGGGAAGGCTGAGCGAAGGAAGATCGATTCTTTTGAACTGTGGTGTTGGAGGAAAGTTCTGAGAGTGCCTTGGACTGCGAGAAGATCCAACCAGTCCATCCTCCAGAAAATAGAGCCCGACTGCTCATTGGAGGGAAGGAGACTAGAGACAAAGTTGAAGTACTTTGGCCACATCATGAGGAGACAGGAAAGCCTAGAGAAGACAATTATGCAGGGGAAAGTGGAAGGCAAAAGGAAGAGGGGCCGACCAAGGGCAAGATGGATGGATGGCATCCTTGAAGTGACTGGACTGACCTTGAAGGAGACCCTGGGTGTGGTGACGGCCGACAGGGAGCTCTGGGGTGGGCTGGTCCATGAGGTCACGAAGAGTCGGAGACGACTGAACGATTTACAGAGTCATGTACTGCTGACTGGTCTATGAAGACAGCTCCTGTAATCTGCTCTTTTTGAAAACCATTTTCTATGTGCTGAGTCAGGTTTAACACTTGTGATGTGCAGCTTTTGCCGTTCCTGAAACCAGCTTGCCAAGGAATCACACACGGGCCTATTTTTTCCATAATTCTGTGCAAAATAAGTCTCTCTAGAACTTTTTAAAGATGGTACAACAAAGAGATTTGTCTTTTTGGATCATTACAGTCTTTGTTTGGTTCCAAGATGGCTATTAGTCTTGCTTTTCTCCAGGTTTTAAGGATCTGACAGGATGCAATGCAGTTGTTCATCAGCTTCATCATTTATTGTGAGCCATTTCCAGTTCAGTAGATGTAAAAGGTTCATGAAGGTTGTTGTTCTCATTATCTGGTTGTCTGACTATTGGTTTCCTTCCTACTTTGGTGGCAAGGTTGGGTTTCCCATTCTTCAGAAGTTGATGCGCTATCTCATCTGCCTTTATGTTGGCATGGGTATTAGTTTGTGAGAAATCATTGCTCAACCGTTTTAACAGCCTCCATGCCTTCTGACCATTCCTGTCCATACCACCTTGTGTTATCAGCTTTATTCACTGTTGTTTCTTGGCTTCAGAAATGGAGGACAAAATGCTCTGCACTGTCTAAAGAGTTTGCTCACTAAATGCGTCTTCTTTGTGGAGCCTGTAAATAGTCTTCCAACAAGGCAGCTGTATCAGGAATAATGCCCTCAATGTAATGTGTTCTGCAGCCTCTGATGTTCTTGCTGCACATATGGTGACAAAATTGAAACTCCATCAACAGCATCAATAACAGTATAGTGTCTAGACTGAGGAAAGTCATAGTCCCTTCTGCAGTTCAATGCAGTTAAACTGCATTATATGAGACTGCACTGACCATAAAATACAGTTTCAAATTACATTATGTGGCAGTGTTGATAGGGTCTAAATTATATTTCATATGTATCTCTTATTTATTGTATCACATTGTAAACAAGTCCTTATGCACATATATTCCTGTCGATGCATGCCAAACTTCCCAACAATTTGTGACACATTCACCTGCCAGCACTTGCTTGATAAGACCTGTTCATTTGAGAAATAAAGTAACAATCACTTTAACTCTACGTTACACAACAGAAAAAACATGGATGAATGGTTTTTCAGGTTTTTTTCCTTTTCTTCCTTTATGTTTCAACCACCCCATTACACCCAAGGCTATTACCAATGCCCTAGATCATTCCAGAGGCCCTGGGGGGGGGGGGGTTTGCTCCCACTTTGGGATGCACTCGCCTAAAACACTTACCTCCACACAAGCACTTGATTCATTCAATTTATCATATTTAGCATATATTATTGTATATTATTGTGACCACCCTCTTTCTGCACCACTGTATATCTCACAATATTGTGCATTACTGTTGTGCCACTAGTAAAAAAAAAAGTAAAAAAATCTAAGTGACTATAATTCTGGAACGTAAATAAGTTACTGTTAATAATCCCATAGTGCAAATGTAATAAATAAGTGAAATGTAGGCCATCTGTATTGTTGGCAAAGCTTAATAAATGGGTTAATAAAGATAATTTCCATTGGGACTCCGGTTCTACCCATCTAGCTATAATGGCACGTAACAATTTTAGAATAATCTTTAGATATAGTACTTTGCTGTGCTTAACCTTTGATTAAACGATCTGTAAATCAGATTCATATACATTACTTGTTGTTTTCTGGGCATCAGAAATATATTCTTTATTTGAAAGAAACTTTTTTTCTCTTAGAAAAACAACCCACCTGGGTTTTTTTTAAGCTTCAACTTACTAGTAAGCACTATTTTAATCTTCTGGAGATTTTCTATATGATTAGAGTGCATGCAGGAAGATCATAGGTATTTCCTCCAGCTTCTCTCATTTCTTTTCTCACGTGAAAAGATCTCAAATGTGCTAGGAGGAAGTCATAGGCCAACTTTGTTGTGGGATTTGATAGAGCTGCAGTAAGACTTTGGTGATTTCTACATTCTGAAACAATGACTTGAGTTAATGGATGGATGGATGGATGGGAGCTAATTTTAATGATTTTAGGGGAAATGTGGTGAAAGGAGATCAGACTTTATCTGTTGTGTTTTAAAACCTTTTGGGTCTGATGGCACATCAGATAGCATATGAGACCCAAATAGCATAATTAGACCCATATAACCTAATAAGATATAAGAAATAAAATGTCTATAAAAATAGTATTAGCTAATGTTTGCAAAACTATATGTTTTAAAAAAAACTAGGGTTAGGAAAACCTAATTTCCCCAAGTTAGTTTCATTTTAGCAGTTGCAAAATTCTGTAAAATACAGATTCTCACATGCTAATGCAGTTATTCATATACTGTATAACTACATTCAAGTTTACTTTTAGATTCATCAGGTCCTAGTGTGATAAGCCCTACAAATATTTGGACCCACTAGTTTTCTGTTACATCTTTAATAAAATACGCTTTTAGCGGCTAGTAAGCCAAAACACTGGTTTATCTAGAGCTGCATTTAATATTCTGATTACTTTAATTGATAGCTTGTTCTGTCAGATCCTAACAGATCTTGAAGCGTTATAAAGACAATTAAGAGGAATTACATGGTAGAAGTTTGGTTTTACTGTATAGTTTTCACAACTATTTATTCAGTGTATACAGCAGAAGGGAGAACAGCACTTAAGGAGAGAGTACAACAGATTTAGATGAGCCTTATAAGCTGCCAACTTTGTTCTGTTTCACTTGAAGTTTAGAAGAAATGCCACAGCTTCTTACACAGGTGTGGTGACATCTAAATTCTTAATATTAGCTACCAGATAGAAAACAAGAAAGATGGAAGAATATGGGGGCACAGAACTTTGGTTTGGGACGAAGCTGTGGCTTATAGAATTCATTGAATAGTTTTAGCAAAAGGTGTTTGGGGACACATTTGAAGTTGTCCAACTGAGCTTTCCTGCAAGCCTCGGTTCTGGGTCTTAGGGGAAATCATATCTGAGGTCTATAATAGCTTTGCAATTCTTTGCACTGTGAGATTAGGTTATCATGTTTTCACCATTACAAAAATTTCCTATAGTCATTTCCTCTACTTCTTTTCCTTTATCATATGGCGATATCTCTAGTACAAAAGTTTTAAAGAAGGATTGCAGTTGCTTACATACTAATATTTGATTTCAGACTCTTGTACAACATGGAGTGGGGCATTCAGAACTATTTTATTGTACATCTTTGGATCAACATGTTGGCACCCCAAACATGGGCACAAGGTAAGTTGAAATTTGAAGTTATGATTTTTAAAAACACAAATGCCACTGTTAACTATTTGCAATTGTTTTATTTAGAGATTACAAAAAGTATAAAGATTGAACAAAAATTCAAAGTCATTCAATTTCCAACATACTACTAATGTTTCAGGCAACTGCTGTAATCCTGAGTTTGGCGTGTCAGTGACAATATGACACAATGATCATTGAGCTATTTAGTTATTTTGAGCCTAAGGCAAATGAAACAATATTTAATCATCCTAGACAATGCACCAGTTGAGCATCCATTAGCTGGAACTCAAAAATTTGAAAAGCTGTGATTTGCATTGTCATGGTTTAAACTACACAAACTTTGTTTTATGAATAAAATTATTAATATGATATAAAATTATTCTCAGCCTATGTATACAATGTGTATTTGACTTAAATATAAATTATTTTTGCATTTGGACTTGGGTCCCCACTTCCAAAATATTTCATTATGTATGTATGTACAAAAAGCCCCCCCCCTTTGATGGCACAGTGGGTTAAACCACTGAGCTGCTGAACTTGCTGACTGAAAGGTCAGCGCTTTGAATCTGGGAAGTGGGGTGAGCTCCCACTGTTAGGCCCAGCTTCTGCCAACCTAGCTGTTTGAAAACATGTAAATGTGAATAGATCAATAGGTACCGCTTCTACGGGAAGGTAACAGCATTCCATGCACTCATGCTGGCCACATGACCAGGTGTCTATGGACAACTCTGGCTCTTCAGCTGATGAATTGAGATGAGCACCAACCCCCAGACATCACCCCCCCCCCCAGGTAATGTCAGGGGAAACATTTACCTTTACTTTACCTATGTATGTACAAACACAAGTATTCAAAAATGAAAATGAATGAATAAATAAAACAATCCTAAATGCTTCTTGTCCCAAGCATTTTGGAAAACAGATAGTGAAGAGTAATTATTTAGTTAAAGTAATAGGTATCTGTAACCTAGAATCTGTCCCCTAAATCTGTAACCTAATCGACTACCAAGCTTGCAAACGTTGTGTTTTATTTGTTTGTTTGTTTGTTAAAAAATGCAGTACAGCTGTTTGGTCTGATCCTGACACGATAAATAAAATAATAAATAATAATACCTAGAGCAAAACCTTTCCAAAATCTTTTGAAATTAAAATAAATTATTATGTGTTCATTCATGTTTCTGCATCTTAAATTCTAATCAACACTGGGTTAGACTCAGATTTACCAGGAAATTCTGATTTTATTGGGTTTATTCTAAACATGATACAGTCTGGATCCAAACTATTTTTTACAATGTGAAGACACAGGTAAAAGTTGCCTCTGTGGTTATCCTGTTTTTCTTTGAGCAAGGTAAAACATTGAACTAACATTAATAAATAATGTTTTGTTATTTAATCCATTGTACAAAGAATTATGATGGCAATAAAAGTGATCTACTGGTATATTGCACATTGAGAAGTTTAACAAATACCTTGTACTATCTGAAATGTAAGGTTTCTAATTCAACATTATTTCTTTTGTTTTGCTACTTGGAAGTTTTACACCCTTCAAATGATGCTTGCGAAGGAAAAAAAGGTAATAATAATACATAAGCATTTTAAAAAATTACACACGTGCCTTTGGCACCTGTTTCTTCTGACAGAAAGGGAAGAAGCTTTCCACATCTTCTGCATCTCAAGATAGTGGTCTTTACTTGATCCCTTGGTCTTTACTTGATCTTGATATTATTTCTGAGAGGTAAGAATAATCCCATCAATAATTTCCAAGAAAGCAACCAGTTTTTAACCATATATGCTTCTATCTATCTATCTATCTATCTATCTATCTATCTATCTATCTATCTATCTATCTATCTATCTATCTATCATCTATCTATCTATCTATCTCATGTATAAGTCAGGGGTAATTTTAGGGCCAAAATTATATGATTCATGGATAAAACAAGGGTCATTCAATAGAGATGGTAAAGGATCAGCACAACCTCAAGGGATCAGTTGTCCCTCGCCACCACCATTTCCCCACGCCAGCCATCAAATAGGAATTTCACCACTGCACAAAGAAGGGAATGGTTCATAAATGTTAAAGTGCAGTTTTAACTCTATTAAAAAGGAAATAATCTCAAGAGGAAAAATAGAACTGGTTTATTGCTGTTATGGGGATTGCTCAGGGCGACATTTTATCATACTAATATGGTCAATTCTGAGGAAAAAATAGGTGAAGAAATTGGTTCTTTCAACATCCAGAAGTGGAGTCCACATTAGTTATGCTTTGGTTATTAAATTCTAGATTCTGAAATATAGAAGCCCTTTCTACTTTTGGACCCCCTTCCTCACTTGATTTCTCATAAGAGCCCACCACACATTTTATGATTGTGCCTCGACACACAGAATACCCTCGAGCATTGCCAGAACTATCCAGTACTTCACCTTTTAATCTCTTCTGATAATTGCTCAGTGGACATTTATGAGAATTACTGTACAGGCAGCTATTTGCAAAAAGTGAGCTCTTACATTTCAGAAGTTACCCCGTGGCTTTTTCTCATGAGAACCCACTGAATTTGGCAATGTAGGGATGGGGATGTGCATGTGATTGACTTTGATTATTGATTGATTGTATAGAGGAGCTCATGTGACACCCTTGGTCCCACTATTGATCAATATGCCATTAATGCCAGCAGCTCGATATGTGAATTTGCACCAATGGAAAACAAACAAACATTAAACTTAAGGAGCTTGGTAGAAGTAATAATTCACATTCCCATATCTCTCTGTAGTAAACTGTTCCTTCCCCAAAACATCTCTGAGTGCTGAGTGGGAGGCTTTTGGATACAGTGGATTCTTGATATCCACTGGGATCTGGTTCCAGGACTCCTCGTGGATACTAAAATCCGTGGGGGCTGGAATCCCATTATATACTATGGAATAGTAAAAAATGGCAAAAGCAAAGTTTGCTTTGTGGAGTTTTTTCTTTTCCAGTATGTTCAAGATATGGGTGGCTAAAGCCATAGATACAGAATACATGGATACAAAGAGCTGACTGAGGGCGGACCTAGACAGCCCCTTTATTGTGGAAACTTCTGCAATTAAAAGGGGGCTGTCCAGATGACGTTCTGGCCAACCCTCAATTAATTTGCTACAATCAGGAAAACCCTGGTTTGTGGCAAATTAATTAGATTGTGGATTTAGTCCGCACCTTCTTGGAAGGCACGGGTTAAACCCACTACTTCCGGTGTCTGGACTGTAACTTACCCAGCCTCCATTACAGTGTTGCTAGAGCTCTCCCGGCATGTAGAAATTATGCACCCCCCAATCTCCTGGCATGTCATTTCTTCGTGCCAGGAGAGCTCCAGCAACACTGTAATGGAGGCTGGGTAAGTTTTCCTTACTTTTAAAAGGGGTTTGGGGGCTTTGGGGAGGAGGGATAAGGTCTGCAGATGTTCTCTTAGGCCAGTCCCAGAAGAACATCTGGACACCCACCCTAGAAAGCATGTGCTTTCTGGAGTGGGTGTGGACAGGCCCCCAGGAACATCCACTTTTTAAAACGCGGATGCTCCCGGGATAATAGCCTATCTGGAAAGACTCTGAGATCTGGGATGGGAATTGAATATGGTGTTCCTCCAGCTGCTGAATTCCAATACCTATCAACCCTAGTAAGGTTGGACAATTGTCAAGAGTGGTGGGTTTTGTTATTCAATGTGTGGTTTAAAGTGTATTCCTGTAATCATGATAATCATCCTCAAATTTTAGATGTAACATTTTCTTTTTCTTTACTCACATTTAGGTTTCTCGGATAACATTAATTGCTCAAAGCCAAATTACACACTTGTACATTTTCAAAATAACCGGATGGAGGTCAAGTGGGATAGCATAAAACTTTTGAATGTGACAATGTTTTATAAGTAAGTACTGCTCTGAGGTTCTATGTCTGAATGCTGATGATTCCTTCACATCGGCAGGAACCAGTTTTCCCAGCAAAAATGTCCTTTCTATATCCTCCCTTTTTCTACTTCTTGTTCTTTTTCATTCTGAAAAAACTAAAGGTATATAAGTGAGACAGATAGGTTTTGGTTACCCCACTGCTACCTTTTGTAGTTCTTTCTGCAAAGGGTGTCAGTTCTCCCACATTCCCTGTAGTTAGGGACATAGGACCCCAGTGAGAATAAAGAAACAGAAATAAAGAAAATGCTGTAGGATTTTCTAAGTCTTGTAGCACAGCTCGATGGTCAACTCCCACTGGAAGCTGGCAAGAGAATCACATTGGAAGACATAGAAATTCCTAGACAGATGTTTTCTCTAGACATCTCTAGACTCTTTAGAATGACTGGAGGATCTAGAGCAGGGGTCCCCAAACTACGGCCTGCGGGCCGTATGCGGCCCACCAAGGCCATTTCTCCGGCCCGTGCGGCCTGGCCTGGCCACGCCCACCCGGCGCCGCTCCGCCAATGGCGGAAATCCTCTGCTCAGGCCACTCTGCCTGAGTGGGAGGGAGCAGCCTCCCAGATGGGTGCTCTGCAGAGCAGAGCGGCTGGAGCAAAGGTTGTCCGCCATGGGCGGAGCGGTGC